ACTGGGCAGCGAAACTGTCGATGGCGGAATTAGCGATCAATGCGAGCTCGAACACATCGACAGGATTTGCCCCGTTCAAATTAATCTACGGCCATATGCCAAAGATGTGCCTAACAGCACCACTCTTGGACTACCCGGGAGTAAATGACTTCGCTCAAAAAGCGAAGGAAAACCTCATGGCAGCACACGACGCGATAATACATAATCGCGCTGCTCAAACAATCCAGGCGAATAAAAAAAGACGCCCGGACCCGCCTTTGGGAAAAGGCGAGCTCGCATACTTATCCATGGATAAGCTGAACCTACCCAAAGGCAGGGCAGGAAAACTAAAGCCCTTATACATAGGGCCTTACGAAATTCTGGAAACATTTCCAGAAACGTCAAACTACATCCTCAAGTTGCCACCACAACTTGAACAATGCAGAATCCACCCAAGATTCCATGTATCCCGGCTCGCACCTCACGAGCTGAATGACCAGGAAACCTTCCCAAATAGGGAAGTAAACATATTCTACAATTTTGGGGAAGACCCCGATCGTGAAGCAGTAGTTCGCGAAATCCTAAACCACGTGTGGGTTCACAACGAACTCTGGTTTAAGGTTAAATGGGAACTAGGGGACACCACATGGGAACCCCTAGGAAATTGCAATGACCTCGTCCACCTGGACGAGTACCTCACCTTACAAAATGTAAGGGAACCAGAAAAACTCCCTATCAAAGAAGACAGGGAACTCTCGGCATCACTACGCCCCCAAAAATGGAGGTGGAGGAAGTAAAGCCGAGGGATGATGGCCCACAGCCAAGAGCGTGGGAAAGTTCTGGGCAAGTAACTCGCCCGGACAGCCACACCATGTACCAGAGATCACATGGGCTAGGCAAGTAACTCGCCTAGACCACGTGAACCACAGGCTCACGTGCAAAAGAACACACAACTGCAGCGAATCCCACGCATGCAAGAACGAAAACCCCTCCCACCACCACGAGTAACATAACGACGAAATGTCATTCTCTGGGGGAGGCAACCCTCGGTTCGATCCAAACAAACCACCGGATATCGAAATACGACAACCCGGGGAGCAAGGCTCCCCAGAACAACAACAACACCAGGTGCAGATAAGCGCCATGGATTACACGACGCATGCAGCACAAATGAGTGCTGCGAACCAACAACCATCCGCATTGCTAACAGGCACCGCATACCCCCAGCCTCCCCAAAGAGGCTTCCAACCATACGCGGTGCAAACTGCACCAATGGCGCAACAAGCGCCATTCCAGGGGCAGCATTTGCTGCTGCAGCCCCAGGCATACTCCCCAGGGAACTTCTGGCCAGATCAACCCCTGGATTAGCCAATTCGGCCCAGGTCCAACAACACCCCAGCCAAATGCAGGCTGGGAATCAGCCATCGCGTCAGCGGTAGCTGCTCAGACAGGTCAGCTCCGTGAGGAGCTGAAAGAGATGAAGTCCCTCGTAGGAAGGAGACGAGGGAGCGACAGCAGCTCCTCGTCCAGACCGTCCAAACAGGCACGGTCTGATAACTTGAGGGCGTCAGAAGATGCCTGCGACCATTGCGCCCACTGGAGGCGCGAATACAACAGAGCACAAAGAGATGCTGAGGGCATCTTTGACTCTCTGAAAGGCACAGAGGGAGGAGTCGATCTCCAAAAAAGGGAGATCGAATTACTGAAACGCGAGCTCAGAGAGGCACGTGCACTGGCAGACCTCGCTGCCAAACCCATCATGACGGGGGCCTCCCAGGTCAGGGGGAGGGGATACGGTTCCGGGCCTCATGAGGCACGACCCCACATGGGGACTAGCGCATCAAGGGGTGGGGCACCAACTATCCCGCCACCCCATGGGCAGGCGACCCTGTCCGGGTTGCATAAGGGCCCGCCCTCAGAGGGGCAAACCCATGTCGAGGGGAAGAGGGAGAGCGGTAGGCAACCGACGGCAGACCCTAAAACGGGGACCACTGCCAGAGGTGGCGGGCCGCTGAGTACCTCAGCACCCTATGGGCAAGCTACCCTGCAGGGAAGTGTCCACATGCTATACGAGACCGCCGAACTCAACGAGTTCGGCAAAGTCGAAGCTCCAGTCGACATAACAATCGACCCCAACTTCCCCATGAGGAGAATAGCGTGGTCAGAAGCGGCGCATGATGGTGCATATGCTTGGTGGACAAGCGTGAGTGGGAAAGAATTCGTACACTGGTACGAACAGGCCGAAGCCGCCTTCAAAAGCGGCAAGGTACATAGAACCCTTCGCGAAAAAGCGAAGGAAACCGAGAAATACTTCTTGGGACTCCCGAGTATTGCAAGACTTGCGGAGGAATATAATTCCCCAGAGAATAAGGGGAAAATCCCCTGGGAAAGTCTAGGCAAAGCTGCCTACTTAAAGTCCCAGTTCAAACCACTCAGGACTCCTGAGGAACCTGCCACAAGAACTGCGGAACGGGAAGCGAAAGCTTCCAAATACCGGGAAAGAGACGCAAGTCTCCATGCTGGACAACCAGCCCAACGACCATCCTTCCCCACGGGAAGAACGGTAGACCTACCGTACTCTACACCTGAGCCAAGCAGCTCAGGAACACAACAACCCGCTCCCACCCAGGGAGCACCCACTTCGTCGAGCCCACAGCCCGACAATGTAGCCCAGGCTACATCATCGCATCCGACGCAGCAATCGGATGTCCAGATGAACAACCCGGAGGAAGACCCTCCTCCAGGGCAATGAATCCACCCTTGAGAGAAGGGAAAGTGACACAGTAATACGCCATCGAGGCGCCCGTGAAAACACCTTCCCCGAACTCGAGGCCCCGCACACAATACTGTATGCGAGGAACCGCAAGTAACAATTGCGGAAATCTCCACTCCATCAAAAGACCCACATCCACCACCGCTCGTGTGTAAACACCACTTACACACGAACCCTCACAGAACAAGTGAGGAACACCAAAGACATACAACCTTTGGGTCGAAATTCATTTTCGACAAACTCCACTTTTTTTTTCCTTTCTTTCTTCTTCTCTCCCTGCGATACCAATGTATCGCCGTTCACTTCAAAGTAACGGCCCACACTCATTCATTCCTTAAACCCCCTCTCTTCCTTTCACCGACATGTACAAAATCGCCCACTTTAAAGTGGTGACAACAAAAAACACTCATTGATAATTCCAAACTCAATGTAAATCAATCATTAAAACTCTGTTTTATTTACTATCAACCTTGTATGCGTCGCAAATGCAACGCAAGGGGGGAGAATGTCAGGGCAATAGCCCCGAACCCCGAGTCACTGTCAGGGACTCGTCCAGGGTCAGCGTCCGGGACCGAGAGCCTGGCAGGGGGCGGATCGGGCATGCGTACTGACAGGCCCGATGCGGGACAGTGGTCCCTGGCCACTTAGACTGAAGTGGAAAGTTGTTATTATCATTAAAGGAGGGATATTGTACTGCTTACCTGAAGTGGAAAGTTGAGAAGAAGGCTACTTCTTCGGTTCCCACTTCAGGTTCATTTATATACATGCGGCTTGGATCACATGACGGGTGCCACATCACCCTCGCACACAGCTGTAACCACCCGGGTGTCTCCGTGGGAGATCCCGAGGGTATCCGGTGCAGGCACGTGTGCTGGGCACAGCGGGAGGTCGCCCGAGGTGCCCGGGCCAGGTACATGGTGGGCGCGCTGCAGATGGGTCAATTGTACATTGATACAGAGAAAGTCGTCCATGTAGAATAAAGGGAGAATAAAGAAGAAGTAAGATAAGGAGAAACTGAGGAGGGGAGGATGAGGGGGGAAGAAGGGAAAGGGGGAGGAGGTAAGGGAGGGTGGACCGGTGGGGTACCGGGTCAGGTTGGGCCGGGTGGAGCCGGGTCAGGCGGGTGTGCCCTGACAGTCACATGTAAATTAGATACACATAGTCATGTGGGCAAGCGGGAACCTCCAGGAAACCGCTTACACACCACCGTAAAATACACTATCTTGTATCACTTACGGCCTTGTGTGCTGAGCCACCCTAAGACCTCACACATACCCGATTATCCTTATAGTCGACAGCTTGTTGTGTCTCTTTAGTCCTCATTTCCTCAACATGCAAAAGCATAGGCCATGCGGGTTCAACACGAGGTCGAACGTCACGTGGTAAATCCTCAGAACTTGTTCCCATGTGTGAAGTAATGTACAACGACAGTGTAGAAAAAAATCAAAAGGGGAGGGGTGCAAGTGTCAAGAAGAATGCATGTTCTGGACAGCGGTCATCATACTCTGATGGAACTTTATATTGGTGAGTTACATTTTTTTTGACAAAACCTGGAGTAGTGGACAAAAGTCGAATCGCGCTACAACTGCCATTATTGGCAAGATCAACCGTGCCATAAATCAGCACCACACCGTCACCACGTAATGGCCCCGCAAGGTTATCCCTAACCGGACTAGAATGAAATAACACTCATCTCCGGTTGTGAACGCAATGAGAACTGAGGGCGCAGCGAAGTAAACATCGAGCTTTTAAGCCATTACTCGAATGTAACAAGGAAAGAACAAATAAAGGAAATGAAGCGACCAACAGTCGAAAAAGGAAGATAAATGAAATAAACAATATGATAAGACAGTAGAGACCGACTAGAAATAAACCTAACATCAATCATCGGCGTCTCACCGAATAATGATCGTATCCTTGCCTAAGCGTCGAACCAACCGTTGCTGTCTACAACAATCCCATGAGCCCTTGCCTTCTTGCAATAAGAAGGCAACACGGTTTAACGCAACCGGCCCCCAAGTGAACGACTATGGCACTACCAGAGTCGGTCCACCTGAGATTCACAATGTCAGGTGCGATAACGCGCCTATGGGACCCTCCACGGTCCCTAACGTGCCCTTGCCTGCCCAAACCAGGCAAATTAACGCGTCCCCAAGGCCTGGCCTTGGGACACCTCTGCAAACCACTGATGCCAGCGATTTGCAAACCCTTGACGCACCTCCAACCACCGCTAATAGCAGTCTCCAACATGGCCCTCACAGGCCGTGGAAGGCCACCTCGACCACCTAGAGCAGATTGTAAGAACCTTGGCGGAGTCAGTGACCCCGCCAACTGACGGACTTCTCGCCAGATTTGGCAGCCCGCTTTGATGCATTCGAACGGGCTATGGAGAGCAAGCTTCACGCCATTCGTGCTATCAGACTCGACCAGGGCCACCCACATCCTGTGTCCCCACTGCCAAAATCCGACTCTCTGGTAGTGTGCCTGGAGGCACACTTCTTCCTATTCCCTCTCATCTTGAGAGGTCAGAGATGGTTCATACAACCATCTCCCAACCGTGTCTACACCGGATCGACGGCACTTCAGCCTTTCCTGAGTGCCAGCTCCCGAAGCGCATCACGCTTCAACAAATGCTAATAAACTGCCCATACCCCTCCCACTCGCACTGATATTGCATGTGCAGAGACAGTCTATATGACTGTCTCCCTGCTGGTTTTGCGTCAGATCAAGGGTTTTTCGAGTGCCAGCTCACTGAAGCGCATGATGCTCCAATGAGCTGGAGTTTGAAAGGGCTCATATCTCCCCCACGCCTCTTCCTCATGCTGAGAGGTTGTAGACAGTCTATGTGACCGTCTCCCACTGGTTTTACACCAGCGATACAGCTCTTCAGCTTTTGCTGAAGGCCGCAGAGCGCTTGGCTTCACCCTTTCTTGGGCCTGCATCATGTATGCGGCCCCTACTCCCACTCTCCATTATTACTATAACATCATGACATTCAAGTATACTGGTCCAAAGGACTTTATCAACTGCCTTATCTTGTTAATTAAATATCCAGATAATTTATGATGCGGAGTTGAAGTGCAATCGATAATGAAAAGAAAACCTCACACAAGCAAGGTCTGGGCGGTGCAGCAGCCATTTCTAGTACAAAACGACGACAGTGTAGAAAAAACACAAAAGGGGAGGGGGGCACAAGTGTCAAGAAGAATTCATGTTCTGGACAGCAGTCATCATACTCTGATGGAACTCAGCTGCCTTGGCATCACACTCTGTACGCTGATCGGGGGTGAGATCATCTCCCTTGTACACATGATTTGCGATCCTAAGGTCGTTGAATTGGCCACAACGTCTGCACAAGCTTTGGGATCCTGCTCGATACAGCGGTGTCCCAGGGCCTTCGCGACTTCCCCAATTTCGTGCTCTTGCTGTCCAATGAACATGAGTGCCATTGATGCCAGCGAAAACAAGTTGGGGATGTTCGCCGAGTGGGGTTGTCTGTCAGGGCACAGCCTAACCGGCTACCCTGACCCCCTATGCTGGAAGGGAGTTGCTGTCAGACGATCCGGAGAGATCCGAAGAATGCAGGTAATCTCGCTTAGCTCTCGCTTAGCATCCCGCTTCTATCTTCCATCCACATGTCACCCCTTTCCCACACCTCGCTTACGATTATCCGAATGAATAGTTATCTTTTCATGTCGTCATTCTATCGGCTGTTTCTTATCTCGTTTGTAGCCGCACTCTAGTGGATAGCGGTATCCATGTATATAAGCCCTATCTCCACTGAAGGTGGCACTTCAGCGTTAACAACGACTAGGATTCTCAGGAACACCTTTACCATCGTGAACTGACATGCAGTCCCTGACATTGTCGTTCTGGAGTGGATGGCTCATGCACTGCTTTCAACACCATGGCCATTAAGCATGCCGTCACGGTAGAGCTCCAGGAATATTCACTCGTGGAGTCATCCTTGGAGCTGTGATTAAGCCAGCTGGCCAGAAACGAGCGCCTCATACACCCTGCAGCAAGGAAGTATGAGCCTTGCATAATGCATCCAGGGGTTATGATGCATGGTTCCGAAATCGTTGCGTAGGCAAAGATTTGCCCAGGTGGAAAGATACTGAAGACAGAACAACTGAGATGGGCACTCACAGATGAACAGATTTACTTACACTGTTTGCCCTTGTGAAAGAACAAAGGAGAGAACCGATGAGGAGGTTGGTAAAGGTACTCATAGCCTAGAGAGGCAGGCTCCTCCACATCATCGAAATCCACAATGATTTTCTGGCCCTCCTCCAGAATCGGGACGAAGAACACACGTTGCCGCTAGCACAGGAAAGACTCAGGCCAATGCCATTTGGGTTCTGTTGGGGAGGATGCACAGATCCAACAGTGGAAATCATCGGTCCTCGCCATCCATGAACATTAACCCGGTGGCCAACAGGGAATTCAGCCAGTGCCACGTCATGAGTGTTGAGGAGCCTGTAACTGTGTAAGCTACATATGGGACATAATAAAGAGACTCGCCTCTCTACAGCTTGATACGTCCCAGCAGTGCTGGGACATGCTCCATGATCAATGGCCTGGATGTGGACCAATGACACATTTCACGAGCAGCATCGCCTGCCTGCATCTCCAGGATCTGGTCCTCATCCCCATCGGAGTCTGAGAACCATGTCAGCGAGCCCAATGGAAGGAGGACATGGACTCACCTATACACTGTGAGACACCCTGAAAGTCCATCAGACCAAAAAGTGTCGAAACGTCGAATTCAAGTGCCTCTGGTGGGCCGACCAAGACGAGAGGGCCAACAGTGTCCAGCATTTCCTGGAATGCATGTGGTTCCATTTGTAGCACATGACCGAGTGGTAGTGTGGTGGGCATCCAGTTTTCGTCATGCTGCGGTGATTCCACGTAGCTAATGAAGCTATGGTACGAGGCCTACAGAACTACATTGAAATCGTCAATGTGGGAAGGGAATGAAGAAAGGCTCACAGAGTCCTTGCAGTGTGGAAATTCAAACGTCAGTTTTCAGCAAGTCCTTCAAGTTTGTTCCTACAGGAGCAGGTCTTGGAACAAGTGAGATGGTGCGAACTGGACACTGTGGAGGAGCTACTGGCCCTGTCAGTTTCGATCACTCAACACATGGGAAACTTGCCTTGGCATTTGCCTCCGGATCTGGAGAGACCCTCGCTGGAGCTCTGGATGTGTGTACGGTGTTGACACCAAACCAAGAGGCGACAACTTCTTCTGAGAGGACAAATGCCACTGTTTCTTCCCTGGTCACACGAATTTCGTCGATGCGAGGAGCTTCTGGTCTCTGGGTTTGTTTCCTTTTCTTTGGTTGGACACCACTACCACCTTCCCCATTCCTGCATCTTTTTCTTTGCCCAATAGATGACGATTCGTTGTTTGAGATGTTGGTTCTCGAGCACCAAGTCTCTTGCGCCCAGACCTCCTATTCGTCGAAGTGGAAGGTCCCGCAGGTGTTTGAGCGGAAGTGGAGGGCTCGGCATTAGTTTGGGTGGGGGGTTCATCGGTGTGGGTGGGGGTGGGGGGCTCGGCATTGGTTTGGGTGGGGGGCCCTTCGTCGGTGTGGGTGGAGGTGGAAGGCTCGGCATTAGTTTGAGTCGAAGTGGAAGGTCCCTCATGTCGGTGTCGTCAAGGGGAGGACTGGGTGTCTGATCGACGGACTCAGGTATGTGAGGCAATACCACCCTCCATGCCACATGGAATGCATCCAGGTCTCCTTGTGATATTTTTCCCGATCATGAAACCGAGAATATGAGATGGAGGATAGCACTTTCAAGAACCCTCTGGGGACGGTTTGATTGGATAAATCCCCTGCGGAGGGTGGCATGCGATAGTAATGTGTTCATTGTGGGAGCGTCGTCGGGTTTGTGAGGGTAGTGTTGAGAAGTAGGACAGAGGAGAAATCAAAATCGCCATAATGAGAGGGCTGACATGAGAGTAACTGTAAAATCGTCAGTAACATCTATAAAGGATAAGAAAGGATCTTGCCGTTGAGTGGTTGGGCAAAAATGTAAATTCTGAAATAAATGTTGTTAATCATTAGCATACAAAATGCTTCATTGCACTCACAAGAAACTTCAGGGCTCCCTCATCCCTCATCTCCTTCAGAGCGGCAGCACACAAATAAATGTTGCTCAGCAGACGATATTGCTCCGAAGTGGTGTCCAGACGGGATGCAAACTCGATGAGCCGCTGCAAGGTGAGAGCTGGCTCACCATTGATAGCAAAAGGGTCACGTAGCTGGAGGAACTCGGGAAACCGTGAACGTAGCTCGATCACCCGATCCGGAATGTGTCCCAACCACCACTGGACACTCCGCTTTGTTCTACCGATGGGGACACGATTGATCCATCCCAAAGATCATCTGGCTGGTGGCCCATCATCCAATGAACGCGAACCATAAACAGGGAGGAAGTGATGGCGGGGAATACTTCTGGGACCATCCATTTCGGGAAACTGAGTTGCCCAGAGTTTGACAGTTCCTCCGATCTGGCCATTGCCACCCATGCATCGAACGACGACGCATCCTCCACAAGGCCTTGGAGATCCAATTCGTTTGGAGTTTGGAACTCACTGAGGGCATTTCGAACTGTGCAAGCGAGTTCTGTGAACTGTTGGGACATGGTCGTTGAAATATATTTGGCCAGTGGTGGCGGAGTTGTCCGAATCATACGGTGGACCCTGTGGCAGAACCCGCAATTCATCTTGCTGACAAGTTCGGATCAGAGGGATTTAACGTTTGTTACAAATGTGGGCTTAGCTTTTTGGTCTCCATGTTGCTGTGGTGGCACTGGTTGCCAGCACCGGTGTGAAATTCAGAGATACCTTCTTTAATAAAGCTTTGGCAGTCATGTTGGCGATTGGGCCGGTTGCCCAACAGACCTTTCGATGAATATGGTCGACATCTTTCATTCCCTTGAAGTGGAACCTAACTATGTCTTGCTTATTTCACACGCCGGTGAAACAATGATGGATGTTGGTTTATGTTCCAGTGGTTCATATTCCTGGTTCCGAGAATACTGTGCCGATGCCTTATCGCATCATCTTTTCAATCTAGCCCTGTGCCTTCGTCCAGGACTCAGGATTTGATTTTCAAACCCCCACAGGGCAAGTTCGGGGTGGTGCAAGAATGAGCATACAAGTCAGTCCCAGGACTTTGGATGTCAGTGGGCATTTATTTGTCCAGCTGCTTTGATGTGTCAACCAAATCGGCTTATCAATCAGGAATCCGTCTGTACCTTACCTTTTGGAACCTCCACCATTTTGGCCCCAACCGACGCGATCAGTATGTGGATCTCCTTCATGGCAAAGCAAATGGCACCTTCTGGGAAACTCATTTCTTCTCAATGATATCTTCTTACCTTTTGGGTCTTTTTCATCTTTCTATCCATCCATCCGAAGCATTCGAAAACACCCCATCGCCCTTAATACGCTGCATGGTGCTGAACGAACAGATGGTCAACCAAGAGTGCGGAAGTTGCCGATCGAAGACAAACACTTACTGCTTTTGGTCAATAAGCTCGGCGCTTCCAACGACTATGATGATCATCTCTTTCTTGCCATCTGCTTCATGGCATATTGTGGATCGGTGGACTTGTAGTCCCTGACAACTCTCTCGACCTGAATTTCAAAAAACTGATACTCTGACATATGGTTCAACCTCAGGATCAAGACTTGCTTCGTTGCTTCCAATTCACGTTGCCTACCTCATAGGGCCAACCATTGGTTCCATGGTAGTTCTGTCCTGATTCAATCTAGACTCGGCCTGCTCAATCCAGTCTTGATCTCCGTTCCTCCACTTCCACATCGATGGATTTCATTACCTCACTGTTCCAGGTGGCCAGTTGCGCACAAGTTCAGGTTGAATCACCATTTCTGCTTTACTCCCACTAGAGTGCTCCCTTCGTTGAACTCTGCACTGCATAACTTGTACTTAAATCATCATTGTCCAAATTGTTGACATAGAATTTGCAAGACACAGCGGGGACACAGTAATGGCTAGTGCAAGAAAGCAGAGAGCATATAAAAAGGAGGAAAACAAGGTCCTGTATCAGCAGGACTTAAAGAGGGCCTGGATGGTCGCATGATGTCGAGCAAATCATCGAAATGCCAAAGGATCATGCATCCACACGAGAACTGTAGAACGGAATGAGCCCGGGGCACCAAGAAAATCCCCAAGAGTACCTGATATGGCGACTTCAGTGGGCAAATGAGATGGATGATTCAGTTGATGATGCAAGCGAACATGCTCAACAACAGAAGACAGCGACAAAAACCACATCATTTACTGCAGAATCGCTGCACAATAGCCACGACGAGGCCACAAGCCAAAAAGATATCTCAGATTGGATGCAAGCAAAGAACATGGGGATGCATGGAAACCATAGTAGGGATACAGACAATGGTCAGAGAGATGACGCTTCAAGTATCATGTGACATTCGACACCGTGTCGAAGGTATATGGCAGGCGTGAAACTTGGATTCCTCGACAACTACGGATTCATTTGAAGGAGTTGACTCCATTTTTGAGACAGTAACTCGCTCAGAGCTTTCCCACGGCATCTCAGCGTGTGCGCTTCAACAACATTGGCACTGACCCTCAAACACTCAACCCTCAATCCTCATTGTGCCCTCACTTCTCCTTGTCATTACCACCATCAACCAGCTCCAGCACCAAACTACCCAGAACTCGATATCACGCTACTGGGGAACCGTAGGTCGAATGGGAGGATCAGGCACAGCAGTACGCCCCATTTCCACTCCCATAGCTAACCCATGCCCACAGCTACTGATTTCGCTCTCGCTGTAGAATTCCATACAATGCGCGATCGACTTCGCACTAGACTCAGTCAAACGCGGGTGTGTAACTGACGTCCTTTGCGTTCTGGGGTCTCTACTGGTTGGTGCTCGGTGCCATCGTCAGCTTGGCACAACTTGGGCTGGGGCGTCGTGCGACTCGTGTGCAGGCTTGGCTGGGGGTTGCTAGGCCATGGAGGTTATGCCTTTTGTGCCTACACTCTCATGTCATATACAACGGCTCGGGTTGGTGTTGCCACGGTAGGCACCGCCCACAGGCTCGGGATGGACATCGGACGGCAACTCGATACTAAGGCCTCTTGGCCTTAGCTTGAGCTCGGTGTGCTCTGGTGCTGTGAGATCGGGTATGGTCGTGGCATCGTGCCCCTGCGCTTGGGGGACTTTAACGTCGAGTACGACGTTACCGTCTAGCAACGTAGGCACCATCTGGTGTCTCCAGCGTGAAAATTTGGGGAAAAGGGTTCGTATGTCATGGTATTGAGGACTGACGATGCGTCCGACTCAGGTAAAATGCTGAGAAATTTCAAATGACGAAGGCACCTTGCACAACCTGCATGGACCACCAAATGCAAGCTGCTCCTCCTGTACCCTATGATCCACCAGGAGAGTAACGATCACACGCCCCTACACCCATCTGTTGGGATTTATGAAGGGGAATATGACATATTTTTCCTCTTTCCGCATGCTTGCTTCTTTAGCTAGACACTTTCCTCTTGTACTCAGCATGTAGATAGTCTATATGCAGTGTAGAATTGAGCTCAGATGGAAACGATTGTATAGTTTTGCTTGTGAGAATAAGCGCGCAAGTTGCATTCATCACTATTGCTACCGCTGAGGCCAAATGGACCCCTACGATCTGGCCCTTCTTTCCTCCAAATTCCAAGTATGGTCTCATATCCTGAATACTCACCACCCAAGCCACAGCCTCCATACCACTGGCCCCTTTGATCGCTCATTTGTTATTGTTATGTCATTTCGCTGCTTATTCCTCTTGCATGTACAGTAGCCACAATGTATAAGATCCTCATATATATACAGGTGGTTTTACCCTACGATATGACAAGATAAAAGGACTATGTCATGGCTTATAGCGGGACCTTTTGACATGATTCTGGTCGCCACTCACGTAATTCCGGATAGCGCCGGTTGGGTATAAAACCCATATAAGGCTGTGCACACTCTTTTTTCTCTTGGGTGCAGGAATATGGATTGGGACGGTGGAAGGGTGGGCCCGCTCTTCTGCTGTCTAGCAATCCCAGGCTCTCTAGCCTGCCCAAGAATGGCTGTACACACCTGGGGACCATTAGTCGGCTCTTGCAACCCAGCCAGCATAATTGGTAACCCTGCACCATCCCATAGTTCCCTCCTCTTCGTGACGGCATTGAGGGCCAACTTCGAGGTTGGCTTCTAGGTGTGTATATTGGTTTGTTGGCAAGTTAGCTGACCAGTCCAAAATTACAAGAAAAGACTGTATGTAGATCCATTGATCTCAGCGCTTATCCATTGGGGAGAGCATACATCTTACGTTCTGCAGCTTTCCATTTCCGCTCATTTCATCTTTCCTTCTTTCTGCACTTCCGATGCTCCCTGGGATCATGACACTTTGGCACATGGGGATCAGAGCATAATCCCTCAAGGTGAACAAGGTCCCAGGCGGAAGTCTATCTAGGGCATGCTGCCTAAGGCAGAAGCACCAACTTGTTTTCTCTCTCTCTTTTTTACATTTTGATTATTTTTCTGGTGACCAGGGGAAGAGCGCCTACAAAGTTGGAAGGTGGGAGGGGGAGTGTAGCTTGTCGATTATGTGTCAGAGCCCAATAAAAGGGGGCGCTTGGGATGTTATGGTCATGTGCCATGGCGCCTGTGGCCCTTCCTGGTCTTTGCAGCATCCATCACGGTTCTCTCTATTCGCTCATTGAAACACTACCGGCTGCCAATGCCCCACAAGCTGCCATAACGCATGTAACACCTGCAGTGCTTTTCCGACATGCTCATTTTCGAATAGCGTGTCCGCTTCCAAAAACAACTGTGGCCCTTGTTGAGAATGAGGTTGAGTACAGCAGCAAAGGTGCCATGACAAATATGCGGTACAAGATAAGAGAAAGGTACTTGGTGTTCTGCCCTGTCTTTAGCACCTATAAATTATTCTCCAGGTACGCTTTACAGCAATAGCCCACAACACGGAGGCATGCAAGCCTAAGGAGCTCAGGCCAGGCAAAAACTAGATGCACGAGCTTGAGGAGTTCAGGTCAGAGGGGAGGAAAGAACAATCATTGATCATGTTGCTGACTGTCTTATTTCTAGGTTAACGAGCATCATGTTTACACCTCGCACCGCAGTCCCTCCCTTCACCACATCTATGCAATAAATCCTTTTTTTGTCATGTATTTGTCCAAAATCATGTCATAAAATCTTGTCCTGACAAAGCTGTGATTGTATCTGTAATATATCATCTTAATGTTGTGACCAATCCCAACATTAGTCGTGTATTCACCAAGGATTTTATGTTCAGCAAGCACGTATATTACATTTGAGCGACACAGATGGTATGCGGGGATCAGTGGGGATAGGAAGAAGAGTGTTCAGATTTCTAGCAGTACACATCAGCGTGAAGATGAAGAGATTGCGGTGCAAGAATATGGTACAGAGATGGTCAAGAGAAAGTTGGATTTTGAATCGAATACTCAACACTGGATCAAAATATAACCTGAAATTAGACGCACCACACCTTCCCAACAAAATAAAAATGGACCTACCTGCTTGGCACCACCTAGGGAAAAAAATGAACGGCGCACACCAAGAAAGA